CTGGCTACCTTTGCATCCCACAGCTGCACTTCATGCTGCAGCACCAAACATTCCCTGATCTTGTGTCTATCCACATCAGTATAAAGGAGGTCTCTGCATGCACTCTGCATGCACTCTGCATACACAGAGTTGACCCAAAATGCATTCAGTATCAGAAGCCCATGTACAGGACTCACTCCAGGAGACTGAGCAAGCAGGAAAGGATTTCAGTAATAGAAACAGTTTTTCTTTATTGTTAGTTTGACTAAGGTGGAATAGGTGGCTTTGGTTAGGCAGTAGTAGATCAACCAAAAATACTCTGCCAGCCACATGAGAAACACAAAGCAGACGAGCAATATCACCACTGTCTGGATTTCTGTCAGATAGCATCCTGCCAGTTTTCTCTGCTTTGAAAGAGACCTCTGCCCAGCACACATATGTACTGGAGATGTCTTTCTACCATTGCTTTGGCACTGTGATATCCAAGCATCTGGCCTCAGCAGCAAGGAAGCAGAAAAAACTGAGAATACACACTTTACAGCTGGCTGCTGCTGGCCCAAACTCATACACAGTCCCATGTGCCTCATCAACTCTGTTCAGCAGTGTTTGAATGGTTTCCTTCCTCTTTTACATCATGTAATTAAAGGTGCTGAAAAATATTTTTACAAAGACAAAAGAAAACATGAGCTAAGATTCGTTTATGTAGGTCCACTATCATCTGGCTTTTCCTCATCTTTTAATAAATTATGCCTGTATTTTCAAAGGAAAATATAATAAAAGTATTTATTGGGAAAAAACTTAACTCAGCAGAAATTACTCTTTCCAAGTGCTAGCAATTAATACTCTGCTGTTGCTCTAGAGAAAGGCCATTTGGACCCTGGAAAATCATAAGATAACTGGGGATTAGCCATCCCCAACTGCCAGAAAACTTTCAGCTCCAGTCTGCTTCTCTAGCAGTTGGGATGCCAGTACCAGATCAACACTGCAAAGGGCCCTTTTCCACACCCATCCTCCCTTTTAAACAGCTGTGATACACACAGCCACAGCTGTCTGGTGTGATAAGCCTGAACTCTCAACAAGGCCAAAGATCAGCTTTTTCCTATAACTTGGACTCTCTCAGGACACACAGACTTCCTGCTTTGAAAGACTCTTCCTGTGCAAGACTGAAGTCAGTGTTCAAATCTAGTCCTGAAGGCTCTACAGCTGATATTTGGCTGGCCTCTTTTGTCCTCCACTCAGATAAGAAGTACAATGGTTGAACTCATTCAAGAAGTGAAGCAAGGTGATGCAAAACACACAGCAAGGGCCATAATGAGATAGGAAGTGCTCCAGCACTTACTGAACACTTCTTCCTAAATAAAGGTACAAGATACAGAGTCCTTTACTGACAGGGAAGATTGTAAAAGCCTTTCAGAATTTTAATACAGTATCATTTAGTATTTATATAAGGCATGAAAGTTAGTTTGGAAGCAATCAAGACTGTTTCAGTACTGCTGCCAATATCTTCTCTTATTTTACTGCTTATTTTATTGCCATTACTGCAGCCATCTCAAAACCACTTTTTAAACTGAAAAATACATCTTTGACTACCTTGCAAAAGTTTTGGAGTTGTTTGCCTTTTATGAATAGTGCCCGTGTGATAGATAAAAGTTTCTTTCCAAGTTGTGATCAAGCTAAACTTAGCCTACGTGAACACAACATGCAAACTTCCTGAGACAGGATGTGCTGGTTGTAGGAAGTATTAGGGTCTATGCCATGGGGAAATGTTAAATCTCAAGCTTTAGCTGCAAAACTTTAGATCTCTTTAAGAATGTGCTGTGCTGACAGTGCTTCCTTTCAAGCCACAGGGCAGAGTACACAAGATTAGTATTTTTTTCCAAAAAGTGAAATGTTAAAACAATTCCACTGAGCATCCCTGATTGTGTAAAGCTGTGCATTTACTACCAATACAGATAACAAGAAAAGATTTTAGTACAACGACTAGGTAGTAGATGGACCAATGATTTACCATTAGCAATAATGTATGGTATTGCCATATAAATTGTGCTCTCCTAGTTTCTGCAGGCTGCTTAGGGTACATATTCTTAATGCTTTTACACCAGTGAACACAAATGAGGGTGTTTTCAAGTTTCTCTTTAGGTTTAACTCAAATCCGTTTATAAGCTACGCATTTCCTTCCCTTCTCTGAGCTCATGTTTCCTCATGGCTCTGGGAGGCATTTGTGGGAAGCAGGTTTTTCCATAAAAGAAGGTATCAGCACTCCTCAGTCCAAAAACTTGGTCAAGACAATGTGCTTGTATCTGACCCCATCACAGAAAACACGAGCCCAGTGCTTTCCATGGATGTGTGACCTACAAAAATACTTCAGCTATCTTCAGTGTATCTGCCTTGTTACGTGAAGACAACATTTAGTTGTTTAGATCAATTCCAAAGTAGTAGTAACACAGAATGCAATGTTCCTGTAGCAGGGAACTATTTGTGACGGCCATCTGTGTTCTCGTCCACCCACAGCTTCCCAAGCAGTAACTCCTGACGTGCCTGTGGGCTCACTGCCCCAGGGATGGCTGAGCACAGCGCTGCAGGAATGCACCGACTTCAGCACTTGCATTCACAAGCTCCCGAGGTGCCACGGAAGGCGACACTGACTCACCCAAAGCCAAGTGAAGCAGAAGGCTGACCAATGCCCAGTGCCTTGTCTGAGCTGAGCTGGCCCTGGGCTGGGACAGGCAGGCACATCTCTGTGCTCTCCAACGTGCTCCATAAGCCCAGCAGCATTTGCTTCTACATTACTTGCCAAAGTTCATTATCTATTATGAATAGTTTTCTAAAATTATTATATTCAGCCAAAGCTTTGACAAAAGGTGCTGAGTGCACTCAGTACACAGCACTCTGACAGATTAAGCCTCAGCATTTTTCCTGCAGATTTCCTCTTCCTTACAGATTGGAAGAGCATATACTTTTTGAAAAGACCTAGTATTCCTTGTACAGTGCTTTAAAAGTTAATAAGCTCCTGATTTTTTTTGTCAGCATGTCCATAAAAGACAATATAAAGAAATATGAATAAGCAAAGTTGTAAACATAAAAATTTGCCCTTACAATATACATAAAGATTTTAGTCTTATATATAGCAAAACAAGATCCTGAACAGGATATCCCTGCTCATTCATATATTTCAGGAGCTACAAGAAGATACACTGACATGAGAAAGATTGGTCATGATGTTAACCTGTATAACCAAATCCTGAATTATTAGCCACACCTTAAAGATTACCACTTTAGATAGAACTAACGCCACTCCTGTAGTTTTAAGTCATTTCTGTTTAAGTATGACAAAGAACATGTATTCATTTCTCTTCATGCATTTAAAGGGCTTCCACCTCCCCTGAAGTGGAATAGATAAATTACCGATTTCAGTTTCCCAAGACCAAGAAAAACAAGAGCAGTGCAGATACAGGTTAATGCTTACAGTTTGCTGCTTCTTTTATGTTGTTATTGCTGTCATTGATTCCTCTTTGTATTTCATCCAGCCACAGGAGCACTGATTCATCTTGAGATTCCTGGAAAAAGGACAGTAAAAAGCCTTGAAAAAACTGAATAGAGTTGTCTCAATATGGTGATACAGCTCCAATATACAATCTCTGTTTTGCAAAGCCCTTGAACACAAAAAGGATTTGATTATTTAAAAACATCAGTGAAATACATTCATATTCTATTTACTGACTTGAAATAGATCCTGTTCAGATACAAAGCTCTGAAAGTTTTGATGTCTAGAACAGGAAAATTTGCGATACTGCTGGCAAAGAATTCATTCTACTGAAGATCAAAAAAAATGGAAACATTTTTGTTTCCGTGATATGTAGGCAAAGTAGTCTGAGTCACATAAAACACACATTATCAGGCAGCACCGTGATAGTAGGATAGAGTAGCAGAAGACTGCAGGAAGTTGGCTTCCTTTCAAAGTCTTATTTGGAAAGGATCCTTGTGTATTTCTAAGTGCATGTTACATTAGAAAATACCAATGAAAACTAATATGAGAAAGACAGCTCAGGTTTAGTAATGATGACTTAACTCATGCAAACATTTGTGTAATCAAACAGCAGAATAAGTACTACTCTTCTTTCAGGCCTGAAGTCCATGACATTAAACCCAAGTTAAAATAGAAGGTGTCGTAGAGGGGGCTCAACATCCCCACTTACCAGCCCTATTGCCCAGGTTCACTGGTGATATCAGCACTTCACCAGATAAAACAGAGTTAAACTAATATTTCTAATCGAATCCATTAGGTGCGTAGGAAATTCAGGCTAAAGAGGAAATAGGAGTGGCAGGCCTATAATAGACTAATGATGAGAGAAGCTGGAATGTGTCAATTGAGAGAGATCTATGGGATAATATACACACAAGTATTTCAGGGAAAAGAAACAGCTAGAAACACATTCAAGCTGAAACAGTGTGGACAAAAAAGCAGGTTTGCAATGAGTATGCCTGGATAAGCACTGGACCTCAGGCCAAAGATCTAATAAATCTGATATCCACAGAAACTACAAAGAGAAAACAGGGTAAAAAACCTTAAAGACATACTCTTCAGCTTGCATCATATATGTAAACAAGGTAGCAGAATACATAAATAACATGGTGTCAGACAATCACAGGACAGTGGACACATACTGCTTATTTTTTTACCAAGTGAGAGTTAGAGTTAGCACTTGAGAGAATGTTTAATAAATTCCTAATCTGTCACTGAATTTTGAGAAAAGCATTGGGAAACTGAAAAAAAATTCTCATCTGGTATCCAGCTTTTACACATTAAATACATGAAGAGACACAAATGCTGCTCTGGAGCCAAGTACAGTTTATGCTGAGCCTCGTGACTAGCCTGGACCAAAACTTGGGCTAATTTTGCTTGCTGAAACAAGTCGTTGTTATTTGGCACTGAAAAGGGAAAAAAAAAAGGAGGAAAAAAGAAAAAAAAAACAAAAAAGGCAGAGAAAAAGGAAGTGATCAATAAAACAGCAAAGGAAAATAGGGGAAAGGTTTTAGAGGCTGCAGTCTGTGGAAGGGTGGAAACTGACTCGGGGAGGCAGTAGGTGGACAGAAGGAGCCAGACAGCTAACAGTGGGTAGGGAGGCAAAAGGCAAAGCAGAAGGCAGTTTTCCTAAGGCATGTTTGTATGTGTGGCTTCTTTCCATCTTCACCTTTTGCTAAACTGAGAGCATCACACGGTTCTGCAAGTCTGGCTTCTCCCTGGAGAAGGGTACAGAGTTCAGCCACGTGACATTTTGGTCTCCGAATTAGACCCTTGGGGATTTACTAAACATGCCCCCCTTTATTTTTCCAGAAAATACTTTTTACTCCAAACACCTTTATGTAAAAATTCCAGCAGAACCGTGCATACCAGCTTCAGGCTTGTGGAAAATTAGGAGTTAAATATTGCTGCTGTAAAGTAATTTTATCTCTGTGTTGGGCTGAGGCTGAAACTGAGTCATGTGTGCATATTTGGATACGTCACACCCTCTTGCTGTAGTAGACAAAGAACAAATTAGCTCCTTACCATAAACCTCATGCTTACAGGATGCTTCTGGAGGACAGATCAATCATTCTTTAGTCCCTTACAGAGGGGAAAAAACCCTCACAAAATGCCTCTTAAGATGAACTAGCACAGCACCATCGTTCAGCTGGCTGGATTTCACACACTACAATGAAGATACTGTTTTTCACTGGACTGCTCTCTCTTACCTCCAGTCTTTGCACTACAGGTGAGTCCTCCATTCTGTATCTATTCCATATTTTAGTCAATAATGTGGACTTTTTGATAATGCTGTTGCTCTACAAGCTGCAAACTTGAAATGAGTTGTACATACATGTACCAATTACAGAAAACTGCTCCAAGATGTCTCCTCTTAAGCAGATTTTTATTTTCATTTCAGTGACATCTTACCTCTGCCAGTCATTTTCTATAAAGAATTTTATTTAAGGGAACTTTCTGCACTTACTGAATAAATGTATTTTATCTAGTATTTTTGTAACGATATGATAATTTTAAACTTGTCGTGTCTTGTCTTCCAACTTCACAGATGGTGTTATTTAGAAGGAAATGCTCAGATGACTATTGTGATAAAAATAACTAAAGGAAATGATCAAATAATAAACGTGGGGTTTTTTTTCCTTTCTAGAATTAAAACTGTTTTCAAACCAAGCTCATTTTGAAATCTGGCATACATATATATATATGTATACATATATAATATACATATATATATGTATTTATACCTATATCTTCCTATATATCCACACACACGCCAGCCCATGCAGGTACACGTATGACTTAATGAGTGGTTAAAACTAGCCTTCTGGAGTAACCATCCAAAAACTACTAAAAATTATGCAGTGTACTAATTATAATTTTAAAACATCCTACTGTAAATCTGCCAGTGAATATTAATAAAACTGTTTTCCTTATTTTATTCAAATATGGAGAGGCAAAAAAAGGTCCAAGTATTTTCATCCATATTTCAGTTTGCTTCTGAATTAGTTTCATGGTGCATGCTGTAGGCTTTACAGTAACTATTTTTGCATTAAATGCACATAAGAAAATTGAAGTCACACAAATACTTACACAGTTGTTTACCGTGCATAATCTGTTTTACAACACATGGCTTTAAAAAGCATTTTGAACAAATTTGTGCTTCACGTGGAATTTTCGATGTCTTTACAAATTTCTCTACTAAAGACTGAGGAACAGGTGCTAATAAAATAGTATTATTGTTTTTGCACACGTGCTGACAATATTTACATACTGAAAATTTTCATGCCGCTTGAAAAGTTTTATTCACTTCTCAGTAAATTACACCTAATACCTGCCCAACCATTTGTTTTCAATTTTCAAGACACTGCCCTTGCTCAGGTACGAGAAAAGATCTGGTTTGCTATAGCCAGAAGCTTAAGAATAACAATTTCACATGTGAGACCAAAACACTAAAGGTAATTTCAGGTTTCTAGTTTAAAAGTTTCAGTCTGTGTTAGACTAGATAGTGCTTTTCGCGTCTCTTGTATTCATGCATTTCATACGTGAAGTGACAAGGATAGTAATAGTGTTTGATCAAGCCTAAACAAAAACTGCTTATATGATGAATGACCAACATTCCTTCTACTGGGAAAAACCCTCCACTGGTCATAAGCATTACAGAAGTGTCTGATATTTTTCACCAAAGATTACTGAAAACACCCAAAATGCAGAAAGATCAGCTAATTACATTAATGATGAATTTTCAAGATTTGGTGTGAAATGATAAATGAAGGCTGTTGTTCTGCACATTTGAACACCCAAAGAGAGGAGAATGTCCCCACATCTTTTAAACTTATATTGCTTTTTTGTATAGAGATGATTATCTGTCTCTGTTCCTGCAGGTGAGTTATACAGTTAACACAGTACTTTGTCCTTTTTAACAATTTTAACTTTGTTTTATTTCTAAGCTTCAGAATATTCCCTGAATGGCTCTGCAATTAAAACAGTGTCTCTTATCAAAACTTTTCGTGGAATTTCAGCAAGAGACTATGATTACATCCCCCCTTATGCCATAGAAGGGGAAACAACAACCATCCATATCAGAGAAAATAAATGCACTTCAAAAAAGTCAAATGACTCCACATTAACAGAAGTGAGTAACACCACTCTGGAGTACCTGACCAGCTCTCTGAGCACCAAGCTAATACCTGCCGTCTACCTCAGTGCTGTTTTATTGGGTGTACCATCGAATGCCATCATCCTGTGGATGCTCCTCTTCAGGATCCGCTCCGTGTGCACCGCCGTCCTCTACACAAACCTGGCCGTTTCAGACCTGCTCTTCTGCATCACGCTGCCCTTCAAAATAGCCTACCACATCAACGGGAACAACTGGATATTTGGGGAGACCATGTGCCGGGCCGCCACGGCGGTGTTTTATGGCAACATGTACTGCTCCATCCTGCTGCTCACGTGCATCAGCGTCAGCCGCTACGTGGCCATCGTTCACCCCTTCACCTACAAGAGCCTGCCCAAGCGCGCCTACGCCAGCGCAGCCTGCGCCGCCGTCTGGGCCGTCGTCTTCTTGTACATGCTCCCGCTTGCCATCATGCAGCAAAGCTACCACGTGAAGCAACTGGACATTTACACCTGCCACGACGTGCACAGCGCCTGTGAAACCCTATCGTCCTTCCAGTTCTACTACTACGTGTCCTTAGCTGTATTCGGGTTTTTAGTACCGCTCGCGACTATCGTGTTCTGCTATGTCTCAATTATACGAACACTCAAGACTCACGAATGGTTCTGGTATGTTAAAGTCTGTCTTTTGATTCTTACCATCTTTGCTATTTGCTTTGTGCCAAGCAATATTATCCTTATTATCCATCACGTCAACTCTTACTATTACAACACAGATGGGTTGTATTCTTTTTATCTAATTGCTTTATGTCTTAGCAGTCTAAACAGTTGTCTTGATCCTTTCCTTTATTTTCTAATGTCAAAAATCAGAAGTCAATCCAATATTTATCTAACAATGGTTAAAATATCCAGGGAAAAATGAATTTATTTCTATTACTGGAATTATGATTTTGCATAGTATTAACACAGACAATGTGCAACAAATCTCAGGTATGACATTTATACTTCAAGTAAAATGTGTTAAAAAACACAATCTCAGTTAAATTTACTTCCCTTAACACAAGGAATATCTCCAAAAATACACTTTTCCAGCTCTGTAACTTTATTACATGTATTACAACACCTGTGTACCCAGATACAGGGAAGTAGATCTGCACCTCCATTTCTTTCTGAGATCACTTTCTGGCCATGGAGAAACTCCCAGAGTATCAGTCACCACAGCCTCTAAATACCAGAAGTGGAGTCAGCATCCAAATAGCACTTCTAAGGCAATTCATGACACTTCAAATTAGCTCTCAGCCAACAATCACTGCAGGAACAGTGATACAAAACCAAGGTTTTGGCCTGGTGAAAATGAGAACAAGTAAAAGCACTTTCCACGTGCCTGGGAGCAGTCAAGAGCAAATAGTGCCCTGGATGGGAAAACAGTAAATAAATCTACAGCCGTGGACACAGACCCTGACTCTTCCAAGGCTACCATGAGGCTGCTTAGCCAGCTCTGCACTGAGACTTGTTCTTCCACTTCGTCAGCGCCTGCACTCCCCTAACCCACAGGGATTGCTGGGAGCTAACCCTTATCAGTGTGAATCCAGGCTTGCTTGGTAAGCAAAACAGGGAAGCTATTTTGTAGTATTCTCTCTTTCCACATCCGCACAGGAAATACCTACAGTGTTACAAATACTGCAACTAGTTACCATTGACTGTTAGTAAAACAATGGGTCGACTTTTACCACTACAGAAACTGAAAGCCTACATATATGCTAAGTTCTTAGAAAATTAGCCCAGTGGTTGTCATTTGAATTTGTAACTGCGGCATGCAAGTGGGGATAAAAATGTTTTACGTTGTTTTGATAATAGCATTGTTAAAAAACTTAAATAAAATAAGCTGCACTGGAAAATGCCTCAAGGGAATTTGCAGCCTGGTGAGGCTCCCCTTTTGTTATTTCTTCTGGTTCTTGATTTAAGTTAGTTTTAATCCTGCTATTCCTTCAAGAATAAATTTTAAAGATAACTCTAAAATAATTCAAATACTACACAACTCTTGAAAATATAAACAATGTGAACCTAACTAAAACCTCTATACTTTTTACACAAAAAAACCTAAAACCAAACATAGTAATTTGGTCCATCCGTTTAGCTTTCCAGTTATCCACAATATGCTCCCTAAAACAGGGTTTTTCTTACTGGGACCTGAATACATTTGGTTTGAATAGGCCTACAGAACTGTTAATAGCTGTGGTTTAAGATTTACAGGACAAAATAAATTCCAGGTTTGCATTTTCAGTTTCAAGCAAGGAACAAATAGATCAGATCTGAGATAAGGACCTGTAATGGGTTCTGGCAAATTTGGGTGCAGACTCCCCCAAATCATCACAGCTATGGGGAAGTGACAGCAAGCTGATTAGTATAAGTAGGTTTGACACATATGTTTTTCCAGATGTTGGGGCAGGAAGTTTATAGGGAGGCCTATCTGATTCTTGTAAATCAAATACTTCCTTTTACCACAGCTCACTCTTAAAACATGCTAAACACAAAGTAAAACAAATCTGATTTATAAACAGGGATCAGAAAAGTAGAAAATAGACTTCAGAAATTGCACTACGTTTACAATTGTGTTTGGAGCTTTTTTAAGGAAATGTTAGTCTAAATCATATTTTTACGAAAACATTGGTCATATCTATGATTGAGCACTGTAACGAATAAGTATGCATCTGAGTGTGTCTTTTGGGAGCACTGTGTCTTGCTCTCTTCTGAAACAGGGCAACATTGGCTCACAGAGAAGGTGCTCTAAGTAGTTGTCAAAAGAGTGGAAAACCAAAATATCCCAGAAGATAAAGGCCAGCAGAAGTCTCTAGGAAGATCAAAAATCCTTCAAAGACTTCAAAGAGATTGTACAATTTTTGTTCCGAAATTTGGAAACAGTAATTTGTTTCCTATGAGCACATTCACACCAGGATGGGAGTAGGCACCAAGTTTGTGCCTGGGGAGCTCTGAGGCAGCTGGCAGGAGTGAACCAGGGTAGGACTGCTGTGTGCAGGCACCTGTGGGCTGTAGGTCTCTGCCTTGGGGACATCCTGGCTCCCTGTGCATACACATGGCATGTTCTGGGTCAGCACTCTACAGCCAGCACCTGCACTGTGCACAAGGACTGACCCTGGCCCATCCAGGACAGGTGAAGTCAGGATGCACAAAACCCTCCCCAGCACACATGCGAGGGAGAAGGCTTTTCAGCACTGAGGGCTCAGTGAAACCAGCCCTTACCTGGGAACCCTGGTGAGAAACTGACTTGTGCAAACACCTCTTAAACGTTCTGACAGCAGATTACAGAAACACATGGTTTCACAGCAGGTACCCCAGGTGACATGACACAAAAATGCTGGAAGATACTTTACAAGCCAAAGTTTGCAGACTTCCCCCAACTCGCCGCACTGTGTGAATTTTAATTATGTTTTCCAGACACTGGACATTTTAAGTGCTGTGCTAGCAGCTTTAGCTAACCTTGTGTTCAGTCACATCCTGCAAGCTGCTAGGCTGATCTTTGTTTATGCTTCCCTAAGCTGTAATGCTAACCAGGCCACTGCTTTTGGGGAAGCAGATAGCAACATCCTGCTGAGATAGGTTTAAAACTGAAGGCACGTACAAGATCATCAGCTTGTTATTGCATGATAAAGCTGTAAAAAAAATATGCACAAAACTCCACTATAATAAAACAACATAAAGGAGACTCCTCAAGATACTTCCCAGAGATTTGTTAAAAAACACCATAACTGTGACTTCTTTCTGGCAGAAACCTCACTTTCCATCTATATTGTACCTATCTGCCTGGCACAGTCCTGTAACTGTATCCTTACACTAATTCATAACTATGTGGGTATTGCTGCTGCCCATATATTTTAACAGCTACAGCAACCTAGTAGAATTAAAATAAGTGAGATTACAGCAGTAGCAAGACATATGCAAAACATATCTTAATTTTAATACTTTGAGAATTAATCCATTTTGCCAGTCAGAATAAGTTATAGTGCAAAATTGCTTAGTGCCAGTTTGTTGTCACTGGCTTATTTACAACCTCACTGGGCAAAGGCAATGCAAACATTGGGGGACCAGGACAGGGATACAGAAGCAAGTGAAAAGAATTGACATTTCACTTCTCACAGAGGACAAGAGTAAAAATTCTAACCTTGCATTTCTGTGTTTTGGCGTGGTGTAGAACATCTTGATAATGCCTTGCATTTACTGGTCTCACATCTTGCAGCTTGGCTGTGGGCAATAGCAGGGCTTCTAGAGTTTTCTCAGGATTTCCTTGGTCAACTGCTTCATTAATGTGTCCAATTGCAATGATTCCTATGAAACAGGAAAGTTATTAAAGGTGCACTTATCAAAGAAAGTTGCAACTCTTCTGATATCACGTACAAACAAAGCAGTAACATGAAGAACAGAAAAATCACAAAACAAGAAGCAGAGGCAGCAACAGCAGCTGATTTTAAATTATTTTTGTTCTCATATTCATTTGAAGCTATTATGCTATACAACTTTCCTTCCAATCACAGTTATTGATACATCTGAATAAAACTCTTCCTAAAAATCAAAACCATCCGTGACAAAAAAGGGAAAACAGATCTTCCTATTTTTCGGGGAAGAGGCACCTACAGGAAGCTTAAGAAAAAGTTAGGTGTCACGTATTTATCTGTTTAACATATTGGCTCACAGCACTGAAAGTTTTATTTTCAAATAATTTCAGACCACACTACTTGAAACCCTGATTTGGACAAATACATATATACTGCACTCCCAGGTAAAGCATTACATAGGAACTTAACCTAATTTCTGGTAATTTCACTGTAAATAACCAAACTGACAATGCTGAACAGTGGCACTCAGTACTTCAGTCAGGAAGTAAGGCTCAGTGTAATTAATAAAACCTTAACTCATTTTCTTCAGACTGGGACCAACAGTTTCAAATTGATTTCTTCCTGCCCCTAAACAGTACTGAAATGCACTGCTTGTGGTCCCTAAAGCCATCCCAGAAAGACACCAGTCAAGGGTTTCACCATCACCTGTGAGGGATGACATCCCTGCTCCCAGTGGATCATCTCTCAGTAAGTGTCTCTAGTCCCACCACAACCCCCCTGGTGAGGTCACAGATCCAGCTCATCATAAGGCTTGGGGAATGAGTCGTTTATCCAAGGTGGTCCAAAAGAGGGAATACGCAGATATGGGACCTGCTTATGGAAACAGAGGCCGCCCTTCTTCCTCTTCTCTCTGCCCATCTGCCCTCTTTAAACATTCCCAGGCAGAGGTCAGTGTCACTGAGAGCAAGAGCAGCTATTTTGGTACTGAAGACTTTCACTGCTACTAAAGGTCTGTTCCAAGCCCTACTAAGTGCAGAGGTTCAGACAAAAAAGTGACTCTGTCAGTCAAAACTGCTCTGCACCCCACCTTGCCAGAGGGCACACGTGGCAGCCAAGCTGTGAGCATTCATAGCAAGTGACTAGATTTAGGAAACAATAATCCAGGCAGCTCTAGAAATTCTGCAATATAAAATTTCCCTTACCAGTACGAGACAGCAGCACGCATGACACTAATGGCAGTACAGGAAGGGAAGGCTCTCAAAGTGCACTGAGACTGCTTCCAAAATGGCAGGCAGTCTGAAAGCTGCCTCTCGTTTTCTTGCTCTAGCAAATTTGGCATATCTTGATAGTTTCATATTTTTACATGCGGTAGTAGAACTCGGTGCTTTAGCTTTTTTGAAGCCCAGATGACCAGCTATCATGTTTAATATAACACCATCCTCTCATGGCAATACAATTACATTCAGCTTCAAAAATAAACTCTAAATCCATTCACATGAGAACATGTGAGCATAAGAAGCTACTCTCGGACAGGAAATCAAGTTACCCAAAAAGAGACCAAGACAGATATTTGGATTGTCTAACTTCTTACTGACTCCCTTGTGAAAAACAATCACTTGGAATCATTTACACAATAAAACACACTTTTCAATGTAACACTGAATTTCCTCCCTATGTCCCAATATGCTCTTCGCTTACAACT